ATAGCGATAGTCTCCATAGTGACTTTAGCTCTCTCTACACTATTAAGAATTTCATTATGCAGTTTTTTGTTAAAGCCATTTCAATGAAACCTAGAAAGTGATTTTACTTTATTTCATGCTTTAATATGAATTTTTATCAGAGTGTGATTATGACCCACAAGGTATGTAGTATTAATCTTGGAATGAGTAAACAAGCAAGCAAATAAACAGAAAAATTAAAAAAAGTGTTTATGTTAGAAACAAATTTCCCAGTTGGTTCGCGCGAATCCCCCCCCCACGAGTCGCATTAAACTTACCACTGCTTCAAAATATACTTTTTAAATGTTTAACATGTGCATACCGGAACACAGGAAATAAACTCCCCTCCCAGGTTTTCATGGAGGCACGAAGTAAGCTTACCTCCATGCAGGTTTTACTCAAAGCCCCCTCTCGCCTCTAGCAATCAGGATACGAAACATTCTTGGAAATTCATTTGTGACACATGGAGATCGTTTTATTTTGTGGAATCGCCAACTGTTGTCTTCTGAATTCATATGATGTTTTGAAAAGCCATACTTTTCTGGAAGCTTTTCTGCAGAGCGAGGGGCGGAGGGGGGGAGAGCCGCAATTATGCTGTTATAGCGTTTTTAAAAGTAGCAAAATAATTTTTGAACGAAGCTAAATATTGCTAATAATTAGTTAAATATAACTAATTGGCGTGCTTCCCTTGCAATCGAATAGGTTCTAAAGAAGTATTTTATTTTACAGATCACTTCAGATTCACATAGCTGTGTCATTCAATTATTAAAATAAATATAAAAAATCACGCATTTTCCACAGCATCTTCAAATAGTAGCCTACTCTGGCACTTGTCTTTTTAGGTGTATTTTGATTTCGGCATACTACCTAATCAGCGGCGTAGCTAGAGTTTACGGCGCTCGGGGGCAACTAAAGATTTTGTGCCTCTTTCTGTCTGCCAAGAACGGAAAACATTTAATTCTAAAATTTCGTAACATCAATTTGGCGCCCCCTGAATGCTGCGCCCGGGAACAGATGTCCCCCGTTGCCCACAAGCGCCTGGCCCCAGCCACCACCCCTGTTCTTATTGGTTGCCGTTTATGACGTCAGGCTGAAAAGATTCCATTATCTGTTTCGTTTGAGTTATTCAAGGGGAACTTATAAACTACTTGTGATTTGGTTCTCTCCGTGTTAATTGTGAATTTGTGCAATGTAACAGAATATTTGCAATTAAAAGGAACCTAACAGTATAAGAAAATATGTCGGCACTTTTTATATAAATTGTTTAATCATGTAATGGAATAGATAAAAACTTTATAATGCGTAAATAGTGTTTGGCTAAGCAATCTGTATTCAATGCAATTCATAGCGCTATACTGATATTTAAAAAATGTATTTTATAATTTCATATAAAAGGAGACCATTAACAAGATTTGCTTCGTCAGCAATGTCAAGAAATAGCACTTAACTCTTACTGTGTAAAATAATGTCTGCCGCAGTTTTCATGAATTAGCGGTTTATTTTGCAGAAAAAAGTGTTTTTTAAAAGTGATATAAATGTAAAATTTAGTTATTTCTTTATAAAAAATGAACTGTTTGATAATTAAATTACCTTCCTTTCATTTATTGCTTGTTGTATAGAGATTGTTTGGTATCAAAATTGTTCGTAGTCGATTAATTTTTACTTTCTAATCCTAGGCATTAATTTCTCCTCATTTATGGTTAAAAATAAGATAAAGTGATATAAGATACTTTTAAATCGTAAAAATATTATAACATCGTTTATTTGACTTTGTCAATTGGAGTTTATTCTGCATTATGTGTTATTGTTTGTTTCTTAACTTTTATATCTTATGAAAAGTGTTTATTGCTCAAATGACTTTGATATTCATCTAATGAACAGAAAATATTGCTAAACAGGTTATCGATTGCACATCGAATTGCACCTTTTTTTATAATACCATGTATATTAACAATATGTTTCAGAAGCTGCTTTTTATTTTTGTAATTTTTTCGCAAACGTGGCAAATTATTCTATCGTTACCCATCGCTTACCCGTTTTAGCGCTAAAATGACCTCGAGCTCAAGCTTTTGGTACGCAAAAATGCCGCGGAAAATTCTTTTCGTCACTGTATGACATCAGAAGTCGTGTCCAATAAGACCTTGGGGTGGTGGCTGGGGCCAGGCGCTTGTCCGTTGCCCCACCCTAGCTACGCCATCATGGAGGTAGGAAGTAAGATGGAGTCGCCCTAAACAAGTTTCTCCCGTACCCTACTCTGAAGCACCGGCGATCCCTACGTGGTGACCAAAACATTGGGTCATTTACCATTGAGTTCTATGGGATTTGACGCGTTCGGATGTAAATATTTTGTAATTACGTCGTAAATATACATATAAATGTATATATTTTCTTTTTCTACAACACTTCAGAGTATGTGAAAACAACATGTTTTTAAACAACATTTCATTCTGAACGGAATAAATGCTATATTTCACAGGACAGTTTTCTCAGAATGGTTTAATTTGAATGAATTTTTCACAGTTTTCGTTAATACATTAGAAAAAAAAATTAAGGTAATTTATTCGGTTAAAAAAATTAAGATCAAAGTTTATTGTATTATTAATATTAAAATTATGCATTATTTCTTTTCTATTATAGAGCTTTCTAAAATACTTTCTAAATATGACATGATCTTTGGCTTCTGAGGCATCTTTTAAATTGAAAAATGTAAGTCAATTTATAATTAATGCTCTATTCGGTTTATTTAAATTAGAGAATTATTAGGAATTAGCGAAATACTTTAAATAAGTATTTCGTAATTCCTAATAATTAAATAGGTATTAAATAGTACTTGACTTTTCTGAACATTTCTGAAAGGAATAAAATAAGTGTTTTTTTTTTTTTTTTTTTTTTTTTTTTTTCAGTATTATTTAAAACTTGTAACTGAGTTATTATAAAATGTAAGGGGGATATAATTATTTAATTATACTTATCAGATTTTTTTTACCATTCATTTCAACAATACATATTCCAAAACTCTTTATTACGTCTTAAGTGCGCATCTCTCATAGCATTGCTTTACAATACCTTTACAGATTGCTTTCCAATACGAACAATTCTGCTTAATAGTTTATAACGTATTTGTCAACATAATTTCAGTTTATGTTTACAATTCAAATTAAGGTTATATATATTTAGATAAGGTTATTATTAATTATATTAGATAAGGTTATTATATATTTAGATATTTTAGATAAGGTTATTATATATTAGATAACATTTATAATCATTACAAATTAGATACATTTAATAATTAGATTCTTCACAGTACTTTCACAGTTGTTATATGTGAATAAATTCTTCATTTCAAATACATTTATAAATAATTAATGAATATTAAGCATTTTGTCAAAGGCAGATACATGCTTTTTGCAAGCACATGCATAAATACCCATACATATTTCCTATTTATCATTTCCGGCATGTGGCAAATCTTTAATTTCTGTGCATTCACTATATTTTTCGTGTAAAGTATTTACACTAATTTAGCATACACCCGAAAGTTTTACATAAAAAATATATATGGAATATAATTTGAATGAAAATTATAAGTATTTTTAATACCACTCAAAGGTCAGTTTTCTTCAAAATTCCTCCACGATGGCATCTCTTTCTTTAGGCAGATAGCCCTTGCATGCGTTACTCTATTTAATAAAAACTTAATCTGACCTATGTGCCTAATTACAAATATTTTAACATACATAATTTTATATTTTATAAAACGTGTAAGCCCAAAGTGATTATTTTCAGATATATAAAAAAAAAACGATTGGTTTTTTTTTTTAAAATGAGCAGCAGTAAAAAGCCTCTCCTCTAAAAAGTTTTAAATGGTACATGTTACAATAATATATGGATGTGAATTTTTTTTTTTTTTTTTTTTTATTTTAAAACATTTTAAACTTTTGGAAAAATAAAATAAAAGTAGCGAATACTCTACCAAGGGTATCGAAAGACGTATACAATTTTAAATGTACCGTAAGGTATTTTTATTCTTAAGCATAACATTTTTCTTTTAAATCTATATTTTTGTAGTGTAACAGCTTATAATTTTATAAAACAAATTCATAATCAAAATCGCTGCTGTTAGTTATCGAAAAATAACCAAGATGTAATTTTTGCGTAAATTTCACTAAACTATACAAATTGCTATTATCCATCACACTATGAATGTTTCTTTCATACGAAAGTGTCCCTTTTTCGATTTCTATGGAACTGTCGTGTGTCGAAATACTATCAGAATCTTGTCAAGCGAGCTTCTGAATGTAAACAAAGAACACCCCATCTGGTGACCCAAGCTTCAAAGCAGTGCTTCACTTTTAGCGCGGGTTGACCCCTCCTCCCTTTCCTACCTCCATGTACGCCACTGTACCTAATACACAGTTTTTCTCTTTCGGGTAAGTTCCTTATTTATTCCAAATTTTCTGCATGCTAAGAGCATACGTTCTGCATACTTTTATACTGAGGGTGGGTGCATACTCCGGATGTACCTGAGTTTAAAGATTATTTTGATAACATATCGGGATTGACCCATGCTGAAACCTGTAGGGCGGGAATGCGGAATGAAAGTAGCACAGCAGCGGATACTATTTCATTTTTGTCATCATTTTCAGCTTTTTTCCCTTTAACTATATCTAGGTTATGGGCCAAAATTTGCATCGTTTTTTTTTTTTTTTTTTTCCCCGCATGGGTAACCACTTACCACTCTGAATATACTAGACCATTGACAACATAGGAAAGTGCACAGACAACACTCTAATTTGTAGATACGATTTATAAATTAATGGCCCCAGCCCCAGCCCGCGTCACGTCAAATACAAATTTTGGAAAACCCATCATGCTTCTTTCAAGGTTAACAAAGCACGACGTTGTATAAGCTAATATGACGTATTTTCTTACGATGTGATTGGTTCCTTGTCGTTTCGCAATCTCTCCATGTTGTGTTTGATACTTACTTAACCGCCGGCGTTGCTGTTGTACTATTATCAGTCTGCCACCTCGTTCTCTGTTAGAGTTTCTTTGAAAATTAGCTAATTATTCTTGTAGCACATTTTCAACATTTTTTCAGCAATGGGAGGAAGATCTGTACAGGATTTACAAGATATTGCAAATAAGCTACGAATTCTTAGCATTAAGGCTACAAATGCCAGTAATTCCGGGTGAGTATTCGTTATCGAAATGTAAAAGCTATGTATAATGATCGAGAAAATAATTCTTATCACGTAGTGAGAAAATTAATTTTAAATCGTTATAGAATAACATGTAAATAGTGCACTAGATTTTTACTACTGCCCATAAAAATTACTTTTAAATGGAACATTATTTTTCACAAATATTACTGCAAATTTCGTGCTGAAATGCATTTGTGTTTGCACCGTGATGCGAATTCATAAAATCTTGAACAGCGTAGTAACACATTTTTTTCTTGTGTGCAGTTTTGATTAATTTTAACTGTTATCAAAAGTAAAAGATAGCCAAGTAAATATACTTAGCAGGCCAGAATTCGTATTGCGATAAAAGTTTGTTTTCCTAAAATTTGAATTTGTAAAAACTAAGATTAAATATCTATTCAGGAAGTTATAAAAGCTCTAACTGTTGTCTATTTTTAGAGAGGTGTAGCAAGTAAGATTGCCATAGAAGTTTGTTAAATTTGCTATAAATATTGGAAACTATTGAAAGGTCAAACTTTTACTTAATAATTTGGAAGTTAATACATATTATAAGTAGCCGTACTTTGTTTAAAGATCCAGAAAGAAACTCATTTTTACCCATTTTCAAAAATTATTTTTGTTACATTCAAGATATGAGTATTCAGATTTGATGTCTTTTAAAAATGAAATGTATGTGAATAAATGGTTAAGGTTTAATTTGGAGAACATATTGCATTTAGTTTCCATTGATATTAAATAAATTTATAATTATTTATATTTTTATGTAGTTTTAAATTGATGCTTTTAAATACTTTTGCTTTGTAATGTAGATTGGTAAATATTTTTACGTTTTATGCAGTCATCCTACATCATGTTGTTCCATGGCAGAACTCATGTCTGTTTTATTCTTCAATACTATGAAATTTAAAGTTACAGAGCCTAGAGACCCATCAAGTGATAGATTTGTATTATCTAAAGTAAGTTAACTTGAATTCATGACTTTCAAAGATTTACAGTGTCTGTGTGTTTAGGAGTTGGATTTGTTTTGCGGTTTTAAGAATATTTTTATTTTTGTTTTTAAAAAAAGCATGCTTCCCTCAAGGTAACTATAACTTGCTTTATTTTTCCAGATTTTGGTTTTACATGCTTAAGTATTCTCTGTTTTTCCCATTCTAAAAGAATTACAAATTACAGTGTTATTTTACTGAATTTTTACATTTTTGATTTTTAGCTAATTTGGTCCTTTTCCATTATGTGCCAGCCATGCATTTTGGCAATTGTGAAAGAGTAGCCAAACACCAGGTGTTTGTAATTGTAAATCATTTTTAATTTTAAGAACAGCTTAAAGATGGCAATATATTTATTTCTAGTTACAGTTGTTGGGTCTGTGTGCATGTTTGGCTTCAGTTGTAACATGCTTAACAGAAAATACTGGTAATTGTGATAAGCATTTCAGTACATTTCAGAAAATTTAATGTAAATAAACAGTAAGAAATTTTATATATATCTTCAACTAATATATTTTTGATAAACAAATATTTTTTAAGTAAGGAAAGGCCATAACTGTTCATATCTTCAAATAAAGTTGTCTTTTACTTGTTTTTCCCTGCATTTTTCACTATAATTAATGAGCAGTTAAATATTGTATCAGCAGCATTATAAAATCAAATGAATTTCACATTATGTTACATTTTATAAGTTGATTTTAATATACACTAAAATAGAATTTTCAATGAAATTAATTAAATAACAATATTCTAAGTATATACATTAATTTTTTACACATATGAATTCAAATATTTCAATGAAATTAATTAAATAACAATATTCTAAGTGTGTACATTAATTTTTTACACATATGAATTCAAATATACTTGGGGGGAAGGGTGTCTGAAATAAATATATAAAATAATTATGCATTTTGTAAAGAAAATACTATTTGAATATATAAAATAATATCTATAAAGTGTAGTTTCAATGAAAAATGTAGCCTAATACTGACTAATTTGAAATAAATGTACAACATGACATTATTTTCTAAACTGTACTGTTTAACTAACATTCGTTATTTAACATGACGAAAAGATGAAACTATGTATGTTGACAGATATCTTTTTCTAAAACTAGTGTGTTTATTTTATGTCACAAAAGTAAATGAAAGTTTATCTTGATCAACTAAAATGTGTTTACTTTCATGTTCAATTTGAAACTTTTCTTTCTTTGTATAAGTTAAACCTATTGTTATAATTTTCTGCCTTAACAGATTATTTAAAAAATTTCAGGATTTTCAAAAAATTGTAATTGAATAATTCTTAATTAAAATGTTTGGTACTTACTTGTTCTAGTGGACCCCAAGATTGAATCTCTAATCAACCAATACATCTTGCCAAAATCTGGCCATGTGTTCTTATACCTTGCTATTGCTTGCTTGTTGCATCTTGGTTGATTAGCGATTAAATTTTGGGGGTCACAATGGTAATGAAGTACCAAATGTTTTCTAAGATATTTTAATTCAAATACATTAAATAACAATTATTAATCATCACCAGCACTGTTTTAACTATGTATGAAATTTGCACCTTTAAAAACTGGTTTTTTAAAATCTAACTGCTAGGTAACAGACTGATTTCAGGTACAGTATTTTTAATAAGTTTTGTTACATTATTTTGGCTTGAGATATCAACAGGATTAGATATTTTTTTAATTTAAGAAAAGAGCATAATGTCTAGGATGTTATGAAAAGCATGTAATGGCCAAGAATATTAGGAAAAGTCAGTTTGAATTAATAAAATATTTATTTTCTAATGATTAACTTCTCTATTTAATATTTTTCAAAGTAACATTTTCTATTTGTACATTTTACACTGGTGTTTAAAATTCCATTTTAGTGTTTTTTAGCATCAACTTAATAAGCATTAAGAAAGTTAAATGGCATTGTATAGTATTACTAAACAATAATTGCCATGAGAATTGACATTCTGCATCACTTTTCGTATTTCATATCTTTTAAATATTAAAAAAAAGAATCGAATTTTTGTATCGGAACCTGCCTAAACTGTCTTTTTAATGTGTCAGCTATAACTCTTGTATTAAATGAAGCAAGTATGTCTGCTTTGTGAGCTACTTCAGTATTGAATGCTAAAATAATTTCTTAGTTAGTAAATATTTCTGTTTAAAATGCTTTATTAATCAAAGATTTAATCTTGATGTTTATCAGATTCCCCTTTTTAATGGAATACCTTACTTAGATTGATTTAAAACAGTTTTGGTACATATTGCAAAAGTTAAAATGCTATAAAATTGGAAGATTCGTATTTTATAACATCTGTATATATTTAGTACTTAATAACCAAAAGTTCAGGTATATTGTTATCTGATATTTTATGAACTAATGTAAATGTGTTCCTTTCCTATAATTTTCCATTTGTTGTTAATTATAAAATAGTACCAATGTTTTCATAATATGCATTTTTAATAATCATTATATGGATGTTCAGACTTTCAGTGAATGAGTAGCATCAAGGAATTTTTATTATTATGTCTTCTTTATACTTCAAGTTTTATCATTTTCTTTCCTTTTAAAAAAGTGCATATGTGTATTCCTTCATTAAAAATGAATTTAATTTTCAGGGCCATGCAGCTCCTATTCTTTATGCTGCCTGGGCTGAAGCTGGGTTATTTCCTGAGGAAGACCTGCTCAAACTGAGAAAGATTGACTGTGACCTTGAAGGACATCCTACTCCTGTAAGTTCCTTGTTTTGAATTTCAGGCTTTCCCCAAAGGTAGAAAGATTGGCTGTGTGCCAATTGTTTGGTACTGTTTTTAGAAATTTTTCTTGGCCTTTTTTTAATATGTAAAATGACTTTTAATTTACCGTATATACCCGCGTATAAGTCGAGATATTTTGACAAAAAAAAAAGACTTCAAAGTGGGGGGGGGGCGACTTATACGCAGAGCCATAAAAAAATTAAAAGAATCGGAAGTTCAAAAATTTCTTTATATAATGCATTTGTTTTCTTCCCACACTCAAATTGGACGACTTATCAAATAAGTCACTTACTTGAAGTAATTTCATGACTAAAATATGTATGATAATGAGCCAATGACGACAGAAAAGTTTTATGAAATGGTTGGCGAATCTGAATCGGACGTTGAAGGATTTTGATTTTGTTCATTTACCAACGTATTTTTATTATTTACTTTTTTTTTTCTCAGATGATTTTGAATAAATGTAGTACTTAAAAAAATGTTTTGAAGTTTATCGATCGATTTCGGAAGTGGAGGGGGTCGACTTATACGCGGGTTTCTTATTTTCTACGAATTTTTTATGTCGAAGTGGGGGGGTCGACTTATACGCGGGTATATACGGTATGTGTACTTTAAAAACATTTAAGAAAGCTATATTGCACATACACAAAAAACTTCAAAATTTAATCTTAGTAAGATAAAATGTATCGTTGGTTTGAAATATTTTTTGGAAATATGCATCAATATGAATTATATAATGTTTCAACATTCAGTTTCACACATTTGAAAGTAACAAATTACATGATTTTTTTCTGTAGCATTACTTAAAAATATGTTAATGAATGGTGAGAATGATAGCCGATTGGTGGAAAATTCTTCCGAATTTTCAGATTTCAGAATTGGCAGCTACCGTCTTTTTCCGAAAATAAGACACTGTCTTACTTTCTTTTTTGGTCCAAAATACGCGCTAGGGCTTATTTTCAGGCGAGGGCAAAAATAAAAGTATATTTATATATTTTTATTTAATATTCATTTTACACAGAATACAGAAATTTAAATTTATTTAATTACAGTCATGTCATCATCTTCTGGAACATCGTCATAAATAAAATTCTGAATTATATACAAAAACAAATTATACTACGAAAAGTTCCGAAAATCACGATTGGGCTTATTTTCGGAAGATGTCTTATTTTCAGAAAAAGACGGTATGTGATTGCAAAGTTGTTGTTTTGGATAAATGTTTCAATAACGAATTACACTTGCTGAACTTTTATGACAGATGTTAGCAATAAGATACAGGCTATTAGATAACTTCAAGAAATTGCAAGTGCCAATGGCAAAAATTGCGTGCAGGAATTGAAAGTGTTTGGGTCTCTTCCCAAATAACACTCACTATAATAAATTTACTGGTTCTTACTTTATTAATTCTCATAATTAAATTACAATCACTCATTATTAACTCGTAGCTGTGACCAGCCCTCGTACACCGTCGATGGCAATTCTCGAACTCGTCTGATCATAATATTACAGATGCGCATGCGCGGATTACATTACAGATGTGCAGGTGCGAACATGCCGCCTCTCATTGCAATGCGTAGCATTCAACTATTGTAATTAAGATATAGTATAAAAAAAATTAAACAAGTATTTAAGCAATTTTGAAATAAGTACTATTACAAAAAATCATTATTATAATTAGACATTTACTATATACATAAGCATACAACTCGAAACAATGCAATATAACATTTCAGTTACATAACAACATTTATGTGAAGCACATTCAATACTACACAAGAACGATAAAAACAATACTCATTTTTGTATTGGTAAAACACATAATTTGGTAATTGGTCATTTGAAAGTTCCAGTTTGAGTTTTTACATTGTACACGCGAACCTTTCCATGCTTACCATAAAATATTTCTATTATACGACCAACCGCCCAATTACAACAAGGCAAATTATCTTTAATTAAGACCATGTCTCCAACTTGTATATTGTTTTTAGAGCTTTTAGATCAATTTTGTAAATGACTTAAATAATTGGAGTTCCATTTTTTCCAGATAATTTGTACTAATTTTGTGATCTGTTGCCACAATTTTAACCTGTTAATGTTAACTTGTGATACCTGGCTCAGGAATCAAATTAATTGCTCTACCAATTAAAAAATGCCCAGGTGTTAGAATCTCTAAATCATCAATGTTCGAAGACAAGGGTGTCAATAGTCGGGAATTTAAAATTCCTTCAATCTGAATCCTAACTGTTAAAAATTTTTCAAGGTCAATTTTGCTTTACCTACAACACGTTTGAAGTGGCACTTAAAAGATTTAACTCCAGCCTCCCAGAGGCTTCTAAAATTAGGTGCTCTGAAAGGGAGAAATTTCCATTCGATATTCTCAGAGCTCAAATAACCAGCTAAAACCTCATCTTGTTCGTTCACTAGTTTATTTAACCTCTTTAATTCTGCATTTGCACCTACCAAGCGTTATCATTAAATAGTGTAAACTTTTACCTCTTCGTGCAAAGAAACGTTTCAAGGTAGCTATTAATACTTCAGATGTTAGGTCTGTTATCAGTTCTAAATGAATGGCCTTAGTAACCATACAAATGAATATACACACATAAACTTTCTGATATATACCTTTTCTCTGGTTTTTGTACTTAAGAATTGGCCACAGAGGTCGACTACAGTACAATTAAATGTAAGATTAGCTGTAATTCTTTCCTTGGGTAAATCACTCATGATTTGCTGAGCTACAATGGGATTAGCTTTAAAACATGTTATACAATTTTTTACAATTTTTCTACAAACATTTCTACCATTTACAATCCAAATGATGTAACAAAGTTTGAGAATCACATGCAAATATTTAAATGATAGTAATTAACTATTAACTCTTTTAATTTATGTTTAGAAGGCAGAATAATAGGAAATTTTTTCTTGTAAGTTAAATTGCTATTTCTTAATCTACCCAACTCTCAACAGTCCGTTACTGTCAATGAAAGGGTTAATATTTTTATAAGAACTATCTCTTGGAACAATACCTAATTTTTTTAAGACCATTTATTTCATTTATAAAATACTCACCGTGCACTAATTTTAATAAAGCTTCTTCAGCTGCTCTCAATTCTCCCACTTGTAAATTACCTACCTTCTTTTGTTCTTGCTTACAATTTTTATAAAATCTAAAATAAAAACTTGTAATATGAATTAATTTTAAATACAGTCAAATACCGAAAATCCGCCGACCTGAAATCTGCGTTGCCTTTCAAAATATAAATATATATGTTATGGGTTCCAGAAACCATAACATAGAGTACGAAATATCGAAGAAAAAATACTTACCAAATAATGACTTCATAATTACTGAATAATAAAGAGCCATAACGGAAATAGCAAGTTATTGACATCATAAGTGTTTTTCCCTGCAATCTGCATCGAGGTAAAAAAGCAGACAATTCACTCAACTCTTCTTTCAAGTTCACGATTCACGTTGTTGTATTTTCTGAACTTTTTATTTCACAAGCTTGTTTAGTGCTGCCGTTTTTTTTTTTTAAATCCGGATATTTTGTGGATAAATTAAGAATATTTTAAATTTCAGCTCTTTTTAATACAATGATAAATAAGAAACGCACTCATGATTTTATTGCTTGCAACGCTGAAATAGGTTAACACGTTGCATTGATGGTTATGCAAAAAGTGGGAATTCTGCTAAAGATGGAAGCAGGAGCTACTCTTCGCTTTATAACAGAATCGTATGGAATAGTGAAACGTACTGTGTATGATATACGGAAAATAAAGAAAAACTGTTGAAATTTTACAGCAGCAGTGATTCTAACACCAGAATCCGAAACCAGAAATCTTTGCATGAGGCGAAATCGGCAAACCTGTCTTGTACGAGTAGTTCCTTCAGCGGCGGAGTGATGGGGTACCAATTTTAGGACCCTTCCTGAGAGAAAAAGCAAAGTAGATTCTTGCTCATGTTGAAATAGAGGAGCCGTGCAATTTCAACAGCGGTTGGCTGAACAGATTTAAACAGAGACACTGTATACGTTATCTGAAAGCATGTGGAGAAAAACTTTCAGCAGATAAAAATGCTGCAGAGGAGTTTATTGATAAATTTTCTGTGTTAGTAGTGGAAGAAACTCTAAGCTCAGAACAGGTGTTTAATATGGACGAGACTGGACTTTTCTGGTGATGTTTGCCAAGACAGTGACAAGCAAAGAAAGTGCACAGTCAGGGGTGAAAGATGTTAAAAAAAAGAGTTACCATTTTAGTATGCAGCAATGCAATGCCTCATATAATTTAAAAAAAAAAAAAAAAAACTTTGGAGCACCCTAAAGTTTTAAAACAAACCTCCATCAGAAAAATGTTTAAAACATGTCGAAAAAAGTGAAATATTTTCTGTTTTATTAATATCCCTTATTTTTATGTCTATTGAATGCATCCTTAATGCTTTTAAATATCCATGTAAGCACTAATGTAAATGAATACTAATATAATATAATCAATTTATATATGTAATAATTAATGTACATAATAAAGTATTGTAATAGTGTATAATAATTTAATTAAATGTATCCAATATGCCTTATTTATTTTGCACTTTTAGTCTGAATATTATGATTTATCTTTTCTGTCCTGAAATCTGCAAAATTCTAAAAAATCTACACAACCTTTGGTCCCAAGCTTTGCGTATTTCTGGAATTTTACTGTACTTATTACTGCAATTCAATAAATCATTAACAAAATTATTCACATTTAGATTTAAACATGTTGATAGTTCAGAATCAGCAAAGTTTTTAAGTTCATTACTGTCCTTTTCAGTAATATCTTCAGGTATAACTCTTATAGGGTACTCATCCTTCATTAAGAAGTCAGGCTCGTTCCACCACAGTTGACTTAGTTGCAGTCTTTTGGCAGCCATATCTCTAGACATGAGATCTGATGATGTTGATTTTTCCCCCCCTCTAACTGCAAATGCTCAATAA